TTTGTTTTTTGTTTTTATTCTTGTAACATTTTCTAATTAGTTTTTATTTTATTGGGTGGAGTTTGGCGACCTACCAATATAAATAATATCATTTGCTATTTTATTCTCATCTTATTTTAAAATTTTATTTCATAAAAAAATATTTTATTCTTGGTTTAAAATGACTTATTATGATTTTATATCTTGAAGCTAATCATCAATAACTATTTAGCTTATATTTACAATTTTTATCCTATAATTTTCACCATTAAATCTTACATTAAAAATAATTTTAAATAAGTTTTAAAGTTAACTGCTTATAACCAACTCAAAAATATTAGTTAATATTTTAATCATATTTGAAATTATAAAATCTTATTTTATGCATACTTTATTTTTTTCAAAAACTAAATTATAAGGCTATAATTTTTCTAAAAGTAACAAAACCTAGTTCTGTCATCAACACATCTAAAATTACTTGTTGTTATGGCAATATCTAAAAACTATCTAGTAAAATTTAATTTAATTTTTTTTTTTAATCTATATCTAGAGTTTTATAACTCTTATTCAAGTGATGTTAATTTTGTTGGAAAACTAACATACCTAACTTTCAATTTTATGGGAAATGTATTTTGATTTTCATCATTTTCAAGTACTAAACCTAGCTCGAAGTTGGGTGATGAAGTTGTTCAATTTTTTTATTTTTTCTTTTGACAAACAACAAAGTATTTTCATTTATTTTCTTACCATTCGATTCATTATTTTTCCTTTACATAACTTATATTATCATTAACCATATCCCCATAATAATCTACTAATTTTTTTTCTCTCACATTCTTCTATAAATACCAAAATTCTCTCACCAAAATCACATTCACTTTTCTACATTCCTTCATCTATAATAATACTTCAACAAAACACAAAAACTCCATAATTCCTTACAAACTTGAAATGTTCGTGATTCAAAGTATAATCAATCTTTCCATTATAAGTTTAAATAAAAGATTTCTATTTCTTTTCAATTTATTCTTCACATTTCAACACATTCTAAAATAATTTTTATGCATTGTTTTGAATTTTTTTCATCTTTCTTTCTTTTTAGCCAGCACCTCCGCCCTTTACAATTCTAGGATTGTTTTCTTTAATTGTTCATTATTCTAAGTTATTTTCATTCATTTCTATTTTAATTACATTAATCAAGGTGAATTTCTCATTTCCCTTTATTTTACTTATGAATCCTAATCTAGAATTTGTAATTTATACATAAATTCACATATTCAATTTAACTTATGTAATTAAGTTTAAAATACCTTACACAATGATAAAGTGAGTTTTGATGAGTTTTGATTGTCAATTAATTGAAGGTTTTTTTTTTTGGTGACACTCTTTTCCCCCTCTTGGTTAACCCATTCTATCTCCAAGTTAATATTTTTTTTTAAATAATTTAAACAGGATTTTACATGATAGAAAAAAAAAATCTACATTTTTCCTTCATAATTTTATCTGTAATCTTTCTTGTGAATATTTTTTTAATTAACATGTAATTAGTTGAAAAAATATTCAAAAGGGTTCTCCGCACTAGTGCTCAAGTAGTATATTATTGTTTTTTTTTTAATATAGTCATGTAAAAATTATCAAAACATATATCTTTTTATAGCTTTAATGAGTTATTGTTAAAAAAAAAATATTCTTGTAAGAAAAGGTATAAAAATGATAGCATGTTGCTAATGAGATGAATGAATTTTAATTAAAGAGATGTATTTTTTAATATTGTTTCAGATTGTTTAAATTTGTTTGGATAGTTATTCTAACTGCATTTAGTTTTTTTTTTTTTGAATAAACAACATAGCTTAAAAACTATATTTTTTGTTATATATATATATTAATAAGAAAAGAACTATAAAATCATTTTGTTTTAATGAAATTTAAATTATTATTTTTCCTATAAAAATAATTTTTTTATATAATTAAATAAAAAGAACTTGATGAGCTTCTCCAGAACTAGATCATATATTTTAATTTGTGTTCACCTCTGAACTTTTCAATTTAATTTTTGGTTAGTGTTAAAAATATTTTTTTAATATTTATTGACACATATAATTTTTGATGTATTTTATTAAATGTACATTTAAATTTTTCATTTTATAATTACAATTTTTCTTAATGCTAGAATATATATTGACAATACTTATATATTTTTTTTATTATTGTTATTAAAAAAAACTTTTTATCTGATTAGCAATGGAGTTACTCAGAGTCCATTTGTTTGCGTGGTTGTTTTTGCATTTGAAGCAACTACAGAAAAACAAATGTTTTGTTACATTAAAAACATAACTTATTTATAGTGGAGCCTAATATAATTCACCTTTAAAACATAGATTTTGATGAAGCAGTTCCAAGTTGCTTTTCTTCTTCATTGTTTACTGTTTTAATGAATAGTGCAATTCACTCGTACTATTTACATGAATAATTTTTTTTATTGTGTTAATTTTTTAAATAGTTTTTCATTTAAAAAACTAGTTTAAAATGAATTAAATTTACTAACAATATCATGTGAACAATATTTTTTTCTTAAAAAACTATGTTTAATCTTAATTTTAACTACAATTTTAACTAAACATATATAAATATCAAATCAATCTTAACGAAAAGTACTTTTTTATCAAAATAATTTTTTTTAAAATCACAACTACAAAAGTTATTGAAGACGATGATTTGTGGCTTTTTATAAGCACATGTGACTGTCTCTATCAGCTATATTGTTTCTTTAAACCACTAGCACCAGCAAACAACCCATTAGAGGATTTTCCCTCGCCAGTACAAGTAAAATTCCTTTGTGAAGTCAACACTGGGATAAATTCAAAGTTGCCTTAAGGTTATTATTTCTCTATAAATTTATTATATCAAGACGTATTCCCCTCTTCTAGAGCTAGTTGTTAGTCCTATATTTTTACAAGAAAACCTTAGAAAACTAGCACGGTTTATGCAGAAATAAAAAACAACTATATAAGAAGCAGTAAATAGAAGAAATAGAATAAAGAAAGCAATAGATTTTGAGAGATAAATTGGAATTCCTTTCGTCCCATTAATCATTGTTAGCTCTTTTTTTGAAAATATATAAATTTTAAGGGAACAAAAATTCATTAATTAGTGTTGACTTTGGTATGTTATCCTTATTATGTAGTCCTAAGTTGCCTAAAGTACTCTACATTCTTGTATTATAAAGTTGAGAAGTATACAAAAATAATAGAAATTAAATTTTTTTTATTTATGAAACTTTGATTTCTATAACTACAAAATAAAATGGAACTACTAACATTACGAGACAACCAACAATAATGAGCATTAAATGTGTCAAAAGACTGCATTAAGAAGAGCTCTTATATTATTATTTTTTTAAATTGATTTTTATATCAATACATCAAAAAGATTAAAAATAAAAATAAAATAAAATTTTAATTATTTTTAAAAATATTTTTTGAAATATAAAAAGAAATAATTCAATTATTGTTTTTCACGATTTGAAGAAGGAAATTAATTAATAACATAATAAAATTAAATAAAAAGAAGTTAGCACGTGTATTGTAGGCTCGAACCAGTTCTAGCTATTTGAACTTGTTTGATGAAGTTTTGAAAGACTTCATGCATGAATTAGGCTTTCCAAAACTGCGGTCTAGGGCTGGTTCTGTGAACTTTCCTGCAAAACAAGTTCTTAGAAATTAGAACTTGTATGGCTGATCAGTCTTCTTACAGATTGATTACTAGATGTGTTTATATATATCCAGTCCTAAAATTACCTCATGGATAAAAACAATATTTTTCTAAAAACTTTGAGCCATCAAGAGGGTATTGTGCCATGCTTATCATGTACTGCGAGCTTGCAGAGGGTCTCCTAAGCTCATTATAGAACTTGTTTTACAAGTGATCATGAAGCTTCAATCCCTGCAACCCCGGTCCATGATGTAATTGCCTTGAAAAGATACAAAGCAACAAGGTTTAACGTGAACGTGTAGACTTCAAAACGGTGCGCACTGCTAGAAAGAGTTGCGTGTGACAGTTCATAGAATTAATGCAGTTCAAACTATGGTTGGCTAACTCATGATTGCCATGTTTATTCTGCGTAAACCTTATTTGGAGTGGGTTTTTTTTTTAGTTTAGTTTTTATCTGTAAAAATAATTATAGTAATTTTTTTTAAATATTAAAATTAGTTTAAATTTATTGATTTTAGTTATTTAAAAAAAATCAAAATTTAATTAATTAATTTTGATTCAGTTTGATTATTTTATATTAATAAAAAAAATCAAAATTTAATTAATTAGTTTTGATTCAGTCTGATTATTTTATATTAAAAATAAAATATTATATTATTTTTTGAGTTTTTTAAATTTTTAACGGATTTGGTTTCGGTTTGGTTTTTTTAATTTAACTTGTTTTTAATTTGGTTTTTTAATTTCATGTTTATGAAATCAAAAACAAATTGAATTAATTAGTTTTTTAAATATTCTAATTTAGGTTTTTTTTTCCATATTTAATGTTTTTTATTTTTTTAATTTAATTGATTTTTAATGTTTTTTTTTTCACCGCTAAACCTCATAGTGCGATGAGAACCACTGCAAAATGGTGATGGGAAATTAACGCTAGCTCCTAGACCTCTAGCATTTATTAGTGGATATCAACATTATGTACAGCTAGTAGCTACGAGGCATCAATAGTTTTTTAAACATTAAAAAAATGTTTTTTATTTTTTTTTTATTTTTAACATTAAATAATTTTTCAAGTTAAAAATTAGGTGGAAGATATTTAAAAAAATAGATAGTAACATCAAAACAAACCTTAATGTTTTCCCCTTGCATTTTTTAACCTTTTTCGGTGAAAACTCTTTTGTACTTGCATAGTACATCAAAGCATGCTCATAATTAAACTATTATAACATATTTTATTATTCTATGTGCAAATAAGATGCCATTTTCTTCTTATAAATTGGAAGCATGTAGAGCCTCTCCAAAGGCATCATCTCTCTCGGCCGATTCTCCTTGTTCTCTGCTCTCTTCGATCTTTCTCAGTTCATGCGAACTTGCCTATCCTCAATATTTAGCCATGGAAATCGGATCTGCAAGCGGTGTCATGGCCGGTTTTTTCACTCAAGGGCGACGGTGGCTCAATGCCTTGCGTGTGAAGTTCAAAGCTAAGGTGGCTGATACGGCTAGGAACATAAAGAAGGTTGGACAAGATGATCCGAGAAGAGTTATTCATTCACTAAAAGTAGGGCTTGCACTTGCATTGGTATCAATATTCTACTACTACCAGCCACTCTACAGTAATTTTGGCGTCACTGCAATGTGGGCTATTATGACTGTTGTAGTTGTCTTTGAATTCTCTGTCGGTAAGTCTAGCCAGGAGCTATGACCCTTCTCTTCAAGTAACCAAAAATTCCCTTTCATGGCGCGACAAAAACCACTACTCATCTCGTAATATTGACAATCATGTGGTTTTTTTTCACAATTTTTCACCAGGGGCTACTCTTGGAAAAGGACTGAACAGAGGAATGGCAACACTACTGGCTAGTGCACTCGGCGTTGGAGCACATCACCTAGCAAACCTATCTGGACATGTAGGAGAACCCATACTACTTGGCTCCCTAGTCTTTCTACAAGGTAGGTATCTTTAACCATGCATGCACACAAAAATCATGGCATACTTGCGCCTAGGTTTCAAATTGATCCTTGTTGTAACAAACAAAAGGTGTAAGGTAGTAATGGATTCAAATTTATTTTGGTTTTTGTTTGCAGCTGCAATATCAACATTCTTACGGTTCTTTCCAAAAATTAAAGCAAGATATGATTATGGGCTGCTAATATTCATATTGACCTTCTCTTTGATATCGATATCGGGCTTTCGAGACGATGAAATATTAGAGTTAGCACATAAAAGAGTATTAACCATCTTCGTAGGTGGCTGTGCTTGTGTCATCATTTCTATTGTGGTTTTCCCTGTGTGGGCTGGTGAAGATCTTCACAATCTGATTGCTCTCAACATCGAAAAGCTTGGTAACTTCTTGGAAGGTATGTATCCATGTCTCCAACAGATTAAAGTGGAGCACTAAGTACATATTACAGCTAGTGGATGCATTAATTCCTACTGTTCTTCTTAACTATTCAATTTGTGGTCGAAAGCTTACTTGGAGAAGGTAACATTTACAGGATTTGGTGATGAATACTTCAAAAGAACAGGGGATGCAGGGTCTAAAGACGACAAGAAATATCTGGAAGGATACAAGAGTGTTTTGAATTCAAAAACCGGTGAAGAATCCTTGGTGTGGATTAATCTCTCGACCTCCCATAACCTCATCTTCCCTTACCTATATACATAGTTCCTTTTCTGATGATAGTTTTGATGCCTTCAGGCTAATTTTGCTGCATGGGAGCCAGGGCATGGTAGGTTCCAATTTCGGCATCCTTGGAAACAGTACCTAAAAGTTGGAACTCTGGCTCGTGAATGTGCCTACAGAATTGAAGCATTGAATGGATACTTAAATGCCGACATCCAGGTATATAAAAAAAGAAATTAACTCCGTTGCAGGTATCTTATCTTTGATGTTTAAATACAATGCGATAAACTACTTTTAAGCCTTTGGCATCTCATACATCGCGATCCCATCTCACCAAAAATAGTAAAGCTCAAACCTGTATGGTTTGAGCACTAACAAAATAAATAACAATTGTTCAAATGCTTATCTCAAAGTATATGCCAATCTGCTGATATACTTGCAGGCATCATCAGAAGTTAGAAGCAGAATTCAGGAAGCATGCACAAACATGAGCATAGAATCTGGAAAAGCACTGAAGGAACTGTCATTAACAATAAAAAAAATGGTACAGCCATCTTCTGCAGATTCCCATATAGAAAATGCAAAATCTGCCGCCAAAAACCTGAAATCTTTACTCAATTCAGGCCTATGGGAAGACACTGACCTGCTGAAAGTTATACCAGGGATTACAGTGGCTTCAATCCTTAATGAAGTGGTCAAATGCACTGAAAACATTGCTGAATCCGTCCATGAACTCGCTTCCAAAGCTCAATTTAAGAGTGTAGAACGTACTGTATCACCAGAAAAGTTGCATTCAGGACAGCCACAGAATATAAAATCAGCTCAGATGGTCAATTGCTCCCATGTTGTCGTCAGTGTTAAAGAATCAACCATGGCTGCTTCACCAAGTGAGATTTCTTCTGCACCAAAGGGTATCAAGCACAATATGGAAGTGTAAATATATGTTACTAATTTATATATTATGTATACATGATATCCCAAGTGAGTTTTATATGAAATTGGGTGTTATTAAAAAAAATAAAAAAAATCTAACTGTAATAAGAAATATATGTGACAGGAATATCCTGAAACATGCATTTCAATTTGTATCATCCCTTTTTTTGGTACAGAACAAATGCCCTTTTTTGTCCAGGATAAGAAAAATGCCATTATTCTTTTCAGCCATTAGGGTTTATAACTTACGTCGATATTTACTCGTCTCTTTGGCGAAGACAGCATAGATGGCACATCAGCCATCAACAACAAACTCAACCCCAAAGTAATCCAATCTGCTTGCAACTCTTCTTTGATTCTTTGGCAGCACAATGAGCTAGCCTAAATTATATATAAGATGCTGTTTTGTTTTTCATCCATCATCATCATGTGCTCAAATATCTTTAATGGGGGAATAAAATGGACGAAAGATTCCAAAGCCCCACTATATTATGTGCTTGAAAATCCAACTTGGATCATTTACACTTGCATTTAAGTTTGTGTTTAGTGTCGGTAGGTTTTTTTATTTTATTTTTAAACTAGAGTTTTTAGTGGAATTTATAACTACAAAACTATGATACGTGTTAATTAACAAAACATTTTTATATCTGGGACAAAACACAAACTTTATCTAACATGATTTACTTTATCTAACAAGAGGTAGATCATATAAAACAAGATTTCAAATGGTACTTTTGATATCTACAAGGCTAAAATTCCATTGGATATATAAAGTAAGATGCCTCTTTTGTAGATATAATATGAGAATGGCAATGAGTATACCACATGTTGGAAGTTTGATCTGAACTTTTCTTTTCATATTTTAAGGTTACGAGAAGAAAGGTGGGGAGGGCATCTGATCGTGCTAACAAGATTTGAAACTTGTCCATGATCAAACTTGTGATCGCGTCCATCTCCAACCAGTCCATCGATTAACAGAGAACTATCAGCCGGTTTTTGTGAGAGAAAATACCCTCCACGCTTAAATATATAGATGAAGTAAGAGCAGAAACGGCATGGTAATCACCATAAACGCAGACACCAGAGGCCATGTCTCGTGTCTTAGTGCCTGCAAATTGCACAGCCTTTTAAGAACAAAAAGTTCTTTCAGAGCAAACACTGACCACACAAAATGAACATGAAGCAGTGGCAAGCAGCAAAAGACTAAAAGGTGGGATTTGAGTGTTTTCCACTAGGATCTCCACTTAGTAGCTAGATAAAAAAAGTCCTCTATTTCGTTCGATATACCATGGATTTGAGAAATTTGCACCAACTTTTCTAAGATTGGTAGGAGCATGTATCAGTTTAATAAATCACCCCACTTATCACAGCAGTTCCACTAACTTTCGACTCCAGACAAATCAAGAGAAACTCAATCATGAAAGGTTACTTGAGGCAACTTCCATGCTTCGTGTTGCTTTCAAAGACAGAAACATTGAATCATCATTTCCAAATTTAAAAGAAATCAACACCATATTGATATTCATATGGACTTTTACGTCTAGTGCAGAATTTAATTAGTTTTTTTATCAGTTTCTTAATCATCTAGAAAGCATCATAGAGTATTTGTTTATCGTTTTGTCTTGGCTCTTTAATCAAGAGCATGTTACCATTCCACTTACCTCTCAACCACTGAGAAGTGTTCTCAGATATATATATATATATATATATATAAAGAAATCATTATTAATTGCCTGACCATTTTGGTTCCATTTATTCAATTCGGTGCCAAAACTCTTGAATTCATTGCAAACAGAGTAGGGTAGAAAGATATGGATCGAGGAGGAGGTGGACTTTTGAGCTAACTTTTCTGGAGAAGATCTCATCGTGGACAAAAAAGTGACCAATATTGGCCAACCAATCCACTTATCTGTTGTCCTCCCAGAAAAATAATAATTCTAATTTCTTGAACATGGACATTTGAATCACAGTTATTAGATTTTATCCTATCTAAATGGATGGATTGATCTGGGCTTCTTGTTATTCATAGCCTTGTTCAAGTTTAATTTTTTCAAAACTGGAATGAATATTAAATTAATTGGATTCAAACTATAATTTTATTAGCATGAACAAACTCGGATGAAACTCAATTAAATCAACTTGAAGATGTTTTTTTATAATTAATATAAGATAATATCATGTTAATTATTTAAAAAAAAAAAACTAAGAAATGACACTACTTTGAAATCATCTAGTCAATCTATCACTTGAATGGGGTTAGACAAAAACCGAGCATGATGGTTAATGGTTCCAAGTCTCCTGAAAAAAAAAAATCGAAATATTCAGTTTCTGTAGAAAAGTCAAGCCCCAATTACATAAGGCTCTGTTTGCATCTTTTTTAAAGGGAAGACAGTGAGACCCAAACCCCAATATCAGATGGACGGCTACACTTGATAATACTTTTTCTTATACAATTAACCTACACCATTTAAAAAATTGAAATTTGTTAAGGTGCTTTGTTGTTTCTATAGATAATTAACAATGAGACACTTTACTACGTTTTTTAAGTCAACTTGTAACAATTTAGTCTTCTAGCTTAGCTGGTAACAAACAAGAAAAAATAACAAGATAAAGGATACGGCCAGATTTTAAATTTAATTTTTAAAAATTATTAGTTTGAATTTTATAAATATCAGAATTACTAAAAATTTATATAATTATTAATTTTAAAATCAATAAAATTAATTAAAATATACATAAACTAACTTGAATACCTATGTTAATAAAAAAAATCACAAGATTGCATATTCTCATCATGATGTATGTTTATTTTCTTTTTAAAAAAAATGGTGGATGTTTTTTTATTTTTTTTTTTAAT